TKSMAAMCCYKSCAWKGGSYKGGRMMMCCCCCAGGRTACTCRGAGCCSCATCCAGCCTGGCCTTGCAGAGTGACACCCCTTTTCCAGCTCAGAAATGACGCATTTTAAGTGCTCTTTGGTAACTCAGTAGCGCGGTGCTTTCTGAGGCCTGGAGTAGTTCAGCAATCCCCAAAGGAATATGTCCAGCCCCATTCTGTGGGAATGATGGAGTTCTTGGYAGGCTGAGATGTGCTCTGGAGGATTTTGATGCTCTGGATGTTCTGTGGTGCCTCAGAGCTGTCCATGTCCTGCAGACCCTGCCCTGAGAGCTGGGCTGGGTTTCCCATGCAGGGCTGGAGCTGTGATCCAGGACCTGGGAGCCCTGGATTCACTTCCATGCTCCACCATCCCCCCACGTGCCTGGGGCCCAACTGTGGTGGGGATCCTGGGGCTGGAATCAGGGCTGATCCCAAACTTTGGGATGTGGTGCATCCCTCCCTGAGGRACACGACCCTCTGGAATGGGCTGTGCCCTCTGTGCCTCCTCTGCACCCAGAGGATCCTGGAGCATTTGGTGTTCACAGGAATTGCTGGCACAGCCCTGAGGTGGGTTTGGAACAGACCCTGTCCTCTTTCCCACCTGCAGGACTCTGATCTGCTTCACCAAACACAATTCCCAGGGACACAGCACGGAATCCCAGAGTGGTTTGGGTTGRGAGGGACCTGAAATCCCACCCAAAGCCACCCCTGCCATGGGCAGGGACACCTCCCACTGTCCCAGGCTGCTCCAGCCCCAATGTCCAGCCTGGCCTCAAAGGGATCCAGGGGCAGTCACMAGGGGATGGGTCTGCTCATGGCCTCAGCAGCCTTGCAGGGCAGCCACCTCCCATTTGTTAAGGAATAAAACTCCAGAGGAGGCCTGGCAATGACCAGGGAGCTGCAGTCCCAGGGAATCCATGTGAGGCYGATCCCTTTTATCCCATGGTGTATTAGCTGGGGGAGCAAATCTCAGGGAATACCCGGGCAGTGCTGCTGTCCCTCCTCACGTGGCTGCACACGAGGGCTCCCTCCAGGGCACTGGGGGAGTGCTGCCCTTCAGTGGGGCCAGGCTGTGTCCCYGTGTTTGCCAAGGGAGCCTGCGTTTTCTGGGGAAGGAACAATGCCTGCTGTGGATGTGTTCCCASCTCCTGGCTGTGCCTTATCTCCTCGGCAAAGGCAAACACAAAATTCCAGCTGTTTATTTGCCTGAGGGCTTTTAAGATATCCCAGCATTAAAAGCAAAGTGTCAGGAGCTTTCTGCTCTTGCAGTGATGACCTCAGTGCTCATTAATGGGGTTTTTCAAATGTGAAGGGAATCCTGAGATCCTGGAATGGTTTGGGAAGGAAGGGATCTTAAAGCTCATCCAGAGCCACCCCTGCCATGGCAGGGACACCTCCCATTGTCCCAGGCTGCTCCCAGCCCCAATGTCCAGCCTGGCCTTGGGCACTCAAAGGGATCCAGGGGTAGCCACAGCTTCTCTGGGCAAAATCTCCCCTTTTTCTGTGCGCCAGCTTCACCTGTCCTTTTTTTTTTTTTTTTTTTTTTTTTCAATCCTGAGGTTTCAGCTGGATTTAATAAAGGCTGGGAACAAATGGAGACTGGAAAAGCCAAGAGATGAAATGGGAAGAAGTGCTTGGCCACTGGAGGCTGGTGGGATGTGGGAATGCAGCCTGGAGGGAGCAGGGACATTCCCACTGGGGTCCAGCTTCACAAGTCACTGTGGGGACAGAGCATCAGCAGTGTCAGCTCTCCCAGGAAACATTTTGGGATTGGAAGAAACATGGAGAGGCTTTGGACAAGGGATGGCGTGCCAGGACAAGGGGGAATGGCCTCAGGCTGAAGGAGGGCAGGGCCAGATGGGATATTGAGCAGGAATTGTYCCCTGGGAGGGTGGGCAGGCCCTGGCACAGGGTGCCCAGAGAAGCTGTGGCTGCCCCTGGATCCCTTTGAGTGCCCAAGGCCAGGCTGGACATTGGGGCTGGGAGCAGCCTGGGACAGTGGGAGGTGTCCCTGCTCATGGGATGGGATGATCTGTAATGTCCCTTCCATCCCCGACCATTCTGGGATTCCATGATTTTCTGAAGTGAAAATACCTTTTTTTTGGAGGTGTGGCACTCCTGACTCATCAGYTCACAGCCACCCTGACATTTTCCCAGCAGGATAAGGAGCTGCACGATCAGGATCAGCTCAGAAGCAGTGGCTGACAAACAGGAATTTTATTGTGGTGGTGACCCCAGGGCTTTGGTACAGTTCAGTCTTGGTCACAGAGCTTCACAGAACTCTCTGGAGGTGTGGGAATGTTTCCAGAGGGATCTCAGCATGGTGTGAGGGAAAAGGAGAGGATGCCCTGCTGGAGAAATGAGATCATCTCCCTGAACCTGAGCAGGGCGGGAGTTGCAGGAACATTTAATTGACTCCTTATTTCTGCAGAAAGCTCAGCAGCAGCTCTCGTGGTGTGGGGCTGATTTATGGAGCTCAGGTCTGCACTGTGCTACTCCCTCCTGCTTTTCCACTCTTGCCCATGCTCAGGAAAGGCCTCCAGGGGTTAATTTGGATCCCAGCAGTTGAAGAGGTGCAGCAGAGAGCCCAAGGCACTGTGTGCTGCAGCCTTGAGCAGCCCTGCAGGCTCTTCATGGCAGAAATTCAGCTCTGGAATGGCTGGTGACCCCTCAGGGCCCCAGGGAGTGCTTGGTTTGCCTACTTCTGTATTTATAAACTGTCAGTTTGGAGAATTTAATTAATCARTCAGAGAGGACTGATCAATCGGGGATTAATGAGACATTCAAGCTCCAAACAGAGCAGGTGGGCTTAGAAACTCTCCAAGAACCCCAAGGCAGCTCYTGTGGGGTCTGTGTGTCCCTCAGCTTCCAGCACAGCCAGGTAGGGGGGGTAACAGCCAACTCCAGCTTCCAGAGGCAGCCATGTTTTCTGTGTTTTCCATGTTTTCCTGGGCAGCTGCCAGGATTTGGGATCCCAGTCCCAGCACCTGCCCTGGGCCTGTCAAACCCCAGTCCTGCTCCTGTCACTGAGCCCCAGAAAAGTCCCTGATGTCACTGGGGACAGGCTGCAGTGGAGCCCGTCAGAGGGGCAGGCTGGACTAATTAGCAGCTTGACTAATTGTCTTTTTATTCCCATTTCTCCAAGAGTTCATTCTGCTTTCTTTCCCATTTCTCCAAGATGCTGCTGCCCTGCCCTGTGCTTCCAGGAGTGTGACCCCCCCTGGTCCTGGGGCACCCCGCAGCTGAGATGGTGGCCTTTAACTGGAAGGTGAGGCTGGTGCACRTTCCCAAAGCAGGGATTGGGCAGGGATTGCTGCTCCTTCCATGATGGATGAGCTGGTGGGTGCTGTGTGAGATTGTGCCAGGGGAGGGTTGTTTACCCACCCCACTCTCAGGGACAGGGCATTTGTTGTTGTTGTCCTTCCTTGCCAGACGTGTTTACCCCAGGATTTCCTGTTGGGGCCTCACACTTTAGACCTGAGCTCAAATCTGCTCCTCCTGCCTTTCCTCTTTCTGGGTTTTTCTCTGGCTGCTCTTCCCTCAGCTCATTTTGTTAGTGGAGGGGGATTTCTCCCCTGTATCATTTGGAGTTTTGGGGCCATAAAAGTTCTGCAGGGTCATGTGTGAGGCCCCACRGTGTTGGAGCAGCATGGAGCTGCTGGAGAGAGCCCAGAGGAGGCAGCAGGATGGTCAGAGGGATGGAGCAGCTGTGCTGGGAGGAAAGGCTGGGGGAGCTGGGATTGTTCAGCCTGGACAGGAGAAGCTTTGGGCTGAGCTCATTGTGGTCTTGCAGGGCCTGAAGGAGCCCACAGGAACCATGGAGAGAGACAATTTCCAGGGGCTGCAGGGACAGGAGCCAGGGAATGGCTTCCCAGTGCCAGAGGGCAGGGCCAGATGGGAATTGGGCAAGAATTCCTCCCTGGGAGGGTGGGCAGGCCCTGGCACAGGGTGCCCAGAGAAGCTGTGGCTGCCCCTGGATCCCTTTGAGTGCCCAAGGCCGGGCTGGACATTGGGGCTGGGAGCAGCCTGGRACAGTGGGAGGTGTCCCTGCCTGTGGAACTGGATGAGCTKTAAGATCTATTCCATTCAGGCCAATCTGTGACTGTGCAATTAATACTTTTAACATATTAAATCAATATTTAGCAATTGCTYCCAGCCGTGCCTTTCCTGCCCTGATGGTGCAGAGCCCCTGGGACCGTGGGGAGACTGACAGAGCCTGGTGTTGTTGTTCCAAACCCACTGCTGCTGTATGGGCACAAGGCTTGGCCTAAACTCAGAGCTTTGATGTGTCCTGAAACTTTGGGAGGTGCTGGAAGGCTGAGGGGACAGGGAGAGTTCCAAGTTCTCAGAGTTATCACAGAATTGTGGAATATCTGGATTTGGGAGGGACTCTCAAGAATCATCCAGGCCCTGCTGATCCCCACAGATATATCGCTTGTGAGGATTGTTCAGCAGCATTCCCACTTCCATAATTTGCCTAAAATACTCAGTTCTTCCCTTTTTATCAGGTCTAGATGGTGCAAATATTGCTGTAAAATGAGCAAAATGGGCTCCACAACTTGAGGGAAGAGGATTTTCCTTTGGCTTGGTTGCTCTGCCTGGTTTCATTTCCCACAGAATAAAAACCAAACCATGAACAGAGGAACATTACCACTGAAATGGAAGATGCAGAACATCCCTCTAAATAAATTTTAATTGCCCAAGTGTTCCAGAAGTAAATAGATAGATAAATAAATAAATAAATAATTCCTAAATAGATTCCTTTGCATTCCAGGCTCTGGAGAACTTCCCACTGCTGATGTACATTTTGGCAGCTAAAACCTTGATCCTTTGCTTGGCCTTTGCTGGAGTCAAAATGTACCAGAGCAAGAAAATCGAGGAGAAACTGAAGAGGGAACGCCAAGAGAGGCTGAAAGCAGAAGCAGAGAAGAAGGATGAGTGAAGAGTCCCTCAGGTATGGAATTGATCCCAAATCCTGGGCTTTGGGAATGATGTTAATCCCAGTGGGATTGATTTGGAATGTGCAGTTAGAACCAGCAGCAGGAATTTGCACACTCATTCTTTGTGGGAATTGCATTAACCCCTGGAAAACTTGGCAGAAACTTGTGTTTGAGGATATTTTAGCACAATATTCCCTCTCTCTTCTGTTACCTCCCTGGATTTCTATCCCTGACACACAAAGAGGGGGTTAAATTTGGAATAACTGCAGGAGAGCAGCCAGGCAGGATGCTGCAATCAACTCTGGGCCTTAACTCACATAATTAAGAGAGAAAATAATCAGCCCTTCTAGATGAGTGAAATAATTGACAGCTTGGGGGTGGTTTAGCTGGAAAGGCCACACACCATGAAATTCCCAAAAGGACAGGTTGTGTTGTGGAACACCCACCATGTGTAATTCTCTGAGAAAAATTACATTTTCCTGCATGAAACATTACAAAATTCCTCAAAGTTTGGGATTTTCATTCTGCAATTGCTGAATTCCTCCCCACTGTTTCCAAAGTTTAAGCAATCCCAGCTTTCTTGGAGGAAATCCATGAACAGAATGAGTCTTGCCTGCTGCTAAGATTCTATTCCCTGCCTTGTCATTTTTGTAGCAGTTTTCTTCCCATCTCCCTGCTCTGCAGCAAAATGGGAATTCTATTCCTGCCTGCCCTTTGGAGGCTCAGTGGGAGTTTGATGTAATGTTGCTCTTTATTCAGATTAAAAACTGAGTTCCCCTTCTGAGGTCATCCCCTCCCATCCAAAGACACTTTCAGTTGTTAAAATCTTTATGASGTTTTATTCCAAACTTGTCACTATTTTATTCCCTGCAACAAAAATTGGGAATTGTGCCTAGAAATGAGGCTCTGGGAATAACCATGGGAACCAAGTTTTTTGTATTTGCACAGAAAAGAAACCAAGAAAACCAAAGGGGGTTTTCAGTCTTCTGCTTCCAGCAGGTTCAGGACTTGGCTTTGGGCAAATTTGGGCCCCATCCCTGGAAAAGGGAAGGTTAGAGAAGGGCTGGGAGCAGCCTGGGACAGTGGAAAGTGTCCCTGCCCATGGCAGGGGTGGGGCTGGATGGGCTTTAAAGTCTTTCTAACCCAAACCAGTCTGGGATTCTGGGATTCTGGGATTCTGGGATTCTGTGCAGTGTTATCTCAGGGAATTCTGCTGGGCAAAACCCACAGCTCCAGGGATTCCTGCACCAGGATCAGGAGCTCATCCCACCAAACCTCTGTGCCCAGCAAGTGAAGGACTGGCATTAAAACTTCTCCCATTCCACAGAAATTCCCTGTCCACCAGCAGCTCTGTCCTTACTAAATTCTGGGTCTGAGAGGGAGGAAGTCCCCCTTGGAGCAGCTCCAGAGGTGCCCCTGTGCTGCCAGCCCCCRGTGCCTGCTGTTCTCACTGCTTTTTCTCCACCCGGCAGATTCCTGACTTTTGGCAGCTGCCATTGGATTCCTTTCCCAGGAGGATGAAGCCTTCCTGGAAAAGAGGGATGTGTRACCTCAGAGTAGCCCCRACRTTGGCTCCGTTTCCATTTGTACAGYGACATATCTGAGCCTCTATTTATGCAATAAAAAAAACTTTGTTAAAAAATGAACTCTGGGGCTGCTTCCTTAAAGGATTGGAGCTGCAAGGGCAGCACTCAGATGCAAGGAGTTGGCTGGGATGGGAGAGGGAAACACTGGAGGGAGAATTTGAGGAGAAAAATGCTCTGGATCCTTCCTGGGATGGTCCAAAGTTCATGGAGAGGCAGAAGGAAGTGGGGAGGGCTCAATGCAGCTTCTGCAGAAGAGCTGCTTCCTTCAGGGGTTAGTCTGTGTGGTCAGAAATTCAGCCATAAAGGCTCAGGTGTGGAAGTGCCTCAGGCACTTTCGCCTTCCCATTCCCATTACAAAGCACTTCCTAGACCCTTCAGGAAGTGAAGGATAAGCAGAAATCTGCCAGTAGAGTGGGGAAGGAGGGAAGAGGAGGATGAAGAGCCCTTGGAGAAGCTCTGGGAATGCAGCTGCCCTGAGCCCCCCAGGCCTCACCTCAGTGGGGAGTGCAGGGGATGCTCAGGGAGCTCCAGCCCTGCTCAAATCACTCTGGAAYTGCAGGGCTGTTGAAAATCTCACTTTTCCTGCTGTCTCCTTGGAGACTGGAGAACAAAAGCAGAGCAGAAACCCATCCCAGCATAGAAAAATCTCCTGCTGTGWGAGATCCTGCTGTATCCTAGAGAAATATCAGTGCTCTGGCACCCTCAGGGTTGCCAGGCTCAGGAATTCCCAGAGCCCCAGGTAATCCAGCAGTTCTCTATCCCCACCTATGCATTCCAAGGTGAAAGGGCTGGGAATTGAATTCAACCCTTGTGGTGTCAGGAGAACAGCCTGGTGTCCCCCTCCCTGAAAGGCTGCTGAAGGAAATCTGGGAAATTTGGTGGAGCCACAGTCCCAAACCTGCCCAGGGAATTGTCAGGASTGTACGGTGTCCCCCAGCTCCAAACACCTCAGTGGCTTGGCTCTGTGCAGTCACCAGTWATTTTTGGATAGTCACCCAAATCTGGAGTTTTTAGGCTCTCAAGAGCAGATTTTTCTAGACAAATAATGATAATAATGAGGTTTTTCTTCATTTTTTTAAATGACTTCAATGCAGTTGCTGTGTGAGCAGAACCAATGGGGTTTTAATGTCCCTTTAAAGCTGCTCACTGACCACCAAACCCACTGGGCTCCATGTAGCACCTAAAATAATCAAGCCTGGCTTAAAGTTTTGGTGCCCTCCCTGCCAAAGATGTGCTAGAAGGGAATTAATTTTTTTGCCCTGGTTTGAATCGAGGGGGAAGGAGCTGGGAGGAGTCTCCTCAGAGGTTTTCCAAATCATCAGTTTTTGCCTCTGCAGCCAAATCAGAAAAACCTTTGCAGGTGAAGACTTCAAATCTGGTCCAACGTGGTTTTAGAATCCCGGACTGGTTTGGGATGAAAGGGATTTTAGGGATCACCCAGTGCCACCCCTGCCATGGCAGGGACACCTCCCACTGTCCCAGGCTGCTCCCAGCCCCAATGTCCAGCCTGGCCTTGGGCACTCAAAGGGATCCAGGGGCAGCCACAGCTTCTCTGGGCACCCTGTGCCAGGGCCTGCCCACYCTCCCAGGGAACAATTCCTGCCCAATATCCCATCTGGCCCTGAATTTCATTCCTAAATGGCCATTCCTGAATGTCAGCGTAGCATCAGAGCTCAGATCCCAGAGCTTGGATAGGGGACATCYTGAATATCCTGGAGTTTCCAGTGTAAGAACAACCCTTGTCCAGTCTTATCCCTTCCCAAACAGAACCAGTCCCTATTCCCTGCTGTTCCAGGTTGGAGTTTTTGCCCTGGGCTGTCCCAGGTTCCAGGTGATTTTACCTTTGGCAATCCCGTGTGCCACAGCTCAAACAAGGAAAAAATGCTGACACTGGGGGGAGACAGCAGCTCAGCTTTGCTGCAGTTGCTCCTTCAGGAAGCAGCTGGCAACCTCGAATTSGGAAAGAATCCCAGAATCCCAGCGTTGTTGAGCAATTGGAAGAGGAATCCCAGCCCTTGGAGTCCCAGCTGTGACCAGTGCCCACCTTGTCGCCAGCCCAGAGCACTCAGTGCCACCTCCTTGGACACAGAAAGGTTTTTATGATTAAAAGCACATTTAAATGAGGAATAGAGGATTTATTCCATTTAATTGCTGAGGGAGAGGAGGCAGCAAGGATAGAGAGCCTTGGAGTGCTCAGTGAATCCCAGAATCACTGTGGAGGGAAGATTCCTTCAAGATCACCCAGTGCCACTCCAGCAKCACCAGCACCACCCCAAACCCCATCCCCAAGGGCCACATCAACAGCTTCTACAGGAACCTTTTGGAGATATTCCCATCCCAAAAAAATGAGCCAGGTCACACTCTGGTGCCTACAGAGCTGCAGGGTTCTCCTTCTCCCCTATTCCATAAAATTCCTCTTTTCCAAAGGAATGTTCAGGCTGTACCTCCCTTGCACAGGTCTCTATTTCTGATGTTGTCACCAATGCCAAGCATTGAAGACAAAAAATAAAAGGTTTAAAATTAAAATTAAAAACTGACTTTTCAACTTCCAGTGTTTGCACCTTTAGGGTGCCTTTTCTTCCCATAAAGGCTGGGTGGGTTTAAACAGGAGCTGAAATCCTTGTGGAGTGATCAGCGAAGGAGCTGGTGGGATTTTAAGGGGAAAACTTAAACTCACAAGTTCTGAGCTGGCTCCAGCAGCTGCAGGAGTAGGGAGCTCAGGGCTGGGGGGTTTCTGTGATCTTTAAAGTGAAAAATAACCCTTCACCAGCATGGTTTGGTGATTAGAATTTGGCTGAGATGAGCTCAGCTGAATTTTAGTRCCACTGGAACCTTTATTCTGAGCCTTCTGCCAGAGTCCCCCCAGAGCAGGGCTGGGGTGAGGCAGAGCCTGGCTGAGGGCCTCACATGCAAGCAATCGCAGTGTTTCCTTCCCTGCTTCTCATCTTGGCAATCAGCAATTCCACCTGCTTTTTCCTGCTCTGCAAATGTTCTGTGTGGGGGAGAATCCTTCAGAATTCCCTGGGATCCCAGCCCCAGTGTTGGTGGAATCGCTTCAAGGATGCATCGACTTGTTGTATCCTCTAATTACTGCATWTATGATAATTAGTGACTGTTCATTAACTGTCATTAACCTCAGCCTTCAAGGGTGGTGAGGAGCTCACAGACCTCACATGGGRGAGCTGGAGGAGACCACAGGGATCACCCRGTGCCASCCSTGTCCCTGCCCAGCCCCCCCAGCAATCCCAGCCTGTGCATCCCTGGCAGCGCTGTCCAAACGCTCCTGGAGCTCTGGCAGCCTCGGGGCCGTGCCCGTTCCCTGGGGAGCCTGGGCAGTGCCAGCACCCTCTGGGGACAGAAGAACCTTTCCCTGCTCT